TCTTGGTCGCCTTAGCACCTTCTGCGATACTCAAACCGTAATATTGCAGCGTATAATCGCGAAATATTACCCACTATGCCACAATCTCACTAATGTCTTTAAGTCACAGGGCAAGAATGAATTGTAAGGAAGGCCAGGCATTTCCCATATCACATTATGTGGTTGGATTGTCGATGAAGCAACGTTGTATATGCTATGGCAATCAACTAAATCACTTATTTTTTTGCATAAGTGGGTATTTTATTCTTACAGTTGATCTCGTATAAGAGCTGTATTCACTTCAGTCCTGTGACCAAATGCCACACGTGGGAGTGTAGCGTGTTGAGTAACGTGTCGAGATTATACGCTGAACTATTACGGTTCGAGTCCTGCTGGAGGTGCTGAGGAGACAAAGGCGATGCGAAACTGCAATAAACTCTGGATGTGACTACTTTTGGGGAAGGAAACCTAGGGTCCACTGATATAATTGCGGGAAAGTTCAACTACCAGTCCTATGTCCTCTTAACGAAATAGGATGAATAAATCTCAAATATGTAGTCTCGAAAGCCTAGTTATAAACGAGAAATTTTTAAGTCGATGCAATCAAGGTAATGCAGTAGAAACGTGATTCGTAAAAAGAATAGAACCTTAAAAAATGCAGTGAGGATACGATACTTACTCAAGAAGTCCAAAGAGGCTAAGCTACTTTGTTCGAAGTAATTCATCACAAAAAATTCATGTAAAATAATGTGATAGTAATAAAAAGATACCAAATTCATTTGAGGCTTTTAAAAACTCATTGAAAATCTGAGCTAAGAGCTTGAACATTCAAAATATAATCAACATAGATCAAATGAAGATGCAAATAACAAGATGGCGTGGCTTCTATTATGGTTGCGGTCTCCTTTCATTGTATGCAAGTGTTTGGGCCTCGTTTTTAGAAACCTTAGTCTTATTGCCAGAGAGGCCTAAGCGAGCACACCTTTTCAGGAGTCCTCTGCCAGCGTAGCCATGATAATTTATAGCATCGGACAGTGGACTTAATAGACTCGCGATAATGGGAATTGGATAAGTCCATTTTCAGGCCACCGACATGAAGACAAACTGTGATTGGCATCTATAAAGTCCCTAAAACGCAAGAGCCTCAGAGTATATTGCTCAAACGTATAAATGTTCTAAAATAAATAAGATGTAAGTGGCTTTTTAGCCATACTTAAATGATTTAATTAGGCTTACCTGAACACCGCCATCTTTGGCAGTAAACGCGAGTGGATTGACCTCATTCACGGTTGCTACGGTGAACTCCCAGCTCAGGGCATCTACACTGATTCCATTATGGCGGGCTGAAGTCTGCATTACAGCAGTCAGAAAACCAGTGGGAAAAGAGAAGGCGCCAATCCAAAATAGCCGAGGAGGATGCGCCATCTGAGCCCAGGTGGAAAATACTTCGATGCGAGCAGAGAGGTCTCGAGACCATGAGCCTAGTGGCTTCATGGAAGAGTATGTCTAGTGGTAAAGAAATAGATAAAGAGGAGAGAATCAGAGTAACAGAGAGAATGAAGGGAGCTAAATAGTGTACATTTACAAGCGTAATAGCTCATTGCATGGATGTGCACAAACTTTCGTATATGCAGATATTTGTGTGCGTGCTGTGGTATGTTCATTTATCTCAACCATTATAAGAGGTGAGGCGAAATTTCTTTGAAGATCGTATCAAGTATTGGATAATTGGAAAATATGGTTGCACCAAAATCACGTGATCATCAGGTTCAAAAAGTTTAAAATTAAGGAGGGAAATAATAGGGCATAGGTTATTATTCTCAATCAGTCTTGACTTTTTATGCCGCCTGAGTTCACTTAGGACAGAATCTTTGATGCTTTACAAATGCCTTGTGTACGCTTTGTATGCAAATCATTTTACAAAAAAATAAATACAGATATATTTATACAGTATCGATGAGTTTAAGATCAATTTCTTATGATGTATTATTGAATGTTGATGTGGTTACCAAATCAAATTTCTGATATTATTGATGAACCAGGCACTAACAACATAATGTAATGTAGTAAGAAATAACTTATCAGCATATTAATCACTAACCTTTTAATTAATTTTATTCTTTACAAAATTACATCAGGATTTCTAGCTTTGCATAAACTTCAAATACAAATAGGGAAAAAATAGTACAAGAGTCGTGTTCATTTTATTTTGTTAAAGATAATGAAGGACTGTTAGTTGAATTTACCCACAATGATATGACTAAGCCTTACATCTCCATTGGATTTCACATAGTCTTGCTTCCCAAAAGGTGCTGATGAAACCTACGTGTAGTCGAAACTGCAGTCTAGCCTGAATGAGAATACCTTGTGTGAAGCGAGGCTATGTTAAATCCAATGGAAAGGTGAGGTCTACCAATATCGTTATAGGAAAATTAAACTGCTGATTATTCATCAACGTAAACAAAATAGGGTATGCACAGTTCATATTCAAAATCGAATGGTAGTCTGGACACTCTAGCTGAGAACTAAAGCAAAAATACTACAAACGGATGCACATACATACAGAAAGGAGAAATTTTAAGGGAGAAATAAAGCAAAAAATGTCCCAAGGCATGGTAACATACTGAAAGTCCACCATCATAAAATCTGGCTTATCATTTTGTATTAAAATTAGAAGATTCAGAAGTTGGTATTATCAAAGGAAGATGGCAGATTGTCTTGAAAGTGGTGACAGGGATTTGAACTGAGAATTACTCATTGTCCTTTGACCTGGATAATTTCTTGCTAGGTTTTAATCTACCATGTGAGGGAAATCATCAGGATAATGATCGAGATTTTACAAAGCAAAAATAAGAAAAAAAACTAACTCTAGGCCAGGAATAGGAGCTGGCTGCGAACTTACCCATCGCTTTAGCCTTAATTTCAATAGTTTAATGAGGCTTTGGTTGATACGATTAACTTATTTATAACTATTCACACCTTTTAATTGATGAGTGAAGTTCATGCAGATGTAGACGAGTATCCTCAGAATAAGGCCCACATGTTTTTCTAGGTAACTATCCATGCCTATTCATCTGATAATTGTAGTCTTATTTCGTCAGTGTAGTTCTTGCAACTTGGCAACGAGAAGATGTGAAAACCAAGAGGTTGTGGCCACGGGTATGGTCGCAGTCTCCTTTCGACTTATAAAAGTGGGTTGACCTCGTTGTCGCAACTTGGTCTTGTG